AGCAGAAAATTTATATGAAACAAAACTATAGCCGACGGAAAACGGAAAACGGAAAACGGAAAACGGAAAACTATAGCTGTGGTTCACCATCCGGTAGGAAGTTGACACCCTCTTGTATCTCCTGGTCTATGCACTCCTGGACTGGATCATAATCGCGGACCATTTCATCGTGTCGAGGGTAGTACGCAGGCTCATACATCACCTGAAGCCTCTCCTTCAGGATTTTCAATGCGAATAATCGTCTCCATCGGGACATTCCCATCCGTCTGTTGCTGCCGTTGCTGGAGTTGTTGACACTCCCGATTTCTTCTTCTGCAGCACACAAACCAAATGAACAAACCCACAAAAATGCTTAAGACGAAAAGCACTATTGCTTCCTGTTTTGTCAAACCATGGACAGAGAAGGGACCAACGGAAAAACCTGCTGCCATTTTCAAAGAAAGGGGAGAATGATTTTAAGTATGACTCTCTGAGAGGAGTTTGTAAAAGGAAAAAGCAAGGTTTGCTTTGAAGCTGCGAAGTCTGAGGTAGAATCATACAGGTCTGAAGGTGATATATAGATGATATTACAAAGAAGACGGTGGACGAGGATTACAACCATAGCGGTCTCTAATATAAGAATCATATGACCTGTGTCAAATTGGCAATGATATACACATTCCGTTTTTAGTTAACCTGTCACATCAGTAAAAGACTAAAATAAGTTTCTCTAATATAAGAGTCGCAACGCGTAAGCAAAATAAAAGCCGCGTACGGAAAAGCAAAAGCAAAAGCAAAATAATTGCAAGAGTTTTTGTACGAAACTGACAATAAAATGCAAAATAATTGGAAGAGTTTTTGTACGAAACTGACAATAAAACAATTATATCAGATAATAATGATTTAATTAATGAATTAGGGCTTAAAGGTTCAATAGTTCAACCTTAAATCTTAAAGTGTTTGGGTGAGGTGGTTGAGGTTTCGAGTTTTACCATTGTTTTGAAAACTCCCTTCCCTCATCTCCAAATTATATACTATTCAAAAAAAATAAT